GGATCTAGCTGCAGAAAGAGTAAATCAATTATTATAGTTTAGATCAAGAATGATCCCCAAATTTTCATGCATTCAGGGGTTGGGCTTTTGGGATGGGTCATAAGGGCGCTAGTGCTGAATGTGCTGTTAGGAGATGGGATGTGGTCAAAAGAGACCAGTATGGGGGTGTGACTTGGAATAGCGCATCTCCTTCCCTGGCTCCTCCCTTCTTTCTCTGGTGACCAGGAAGTGAGCATCTCTCCTTTTATCAGGACTCTCTACCATGCCATTTCTATCTTGGAGCCAATCAATACAGTCTATCACTATGAGCCAAAATAAGCTTCTCCTACTATGTACTGCAGGAGATGGGTATTTTGTCCCACCAACTAAGTCACTAATGAAGGAGACATAAATATTCTCAAAGGAAAGATCCTGGCATTGAAGTGGCTATAATTCCTGTTCACCAGCTCTTGCAATGATATTGAAGCTGATCATAATTGCTAAAAGATAGGCTGTGAAAAGTATGCTGTGTTTAAGGGAGAGAAAAGAAATAAGTTATGGTGGCCAATTAGCCATCTCCTGAAATAAACATCAACTAGAAGAGAACCTCTACTCTCTCCTGTTATCAAATCTACCCACTTACTTCAATATGTCTCATGGGGAGCTGTGAGGATTGGATCCTAGCTATCCAACTAGGAAGTGAATGCATCCAAACTTTCAATTAGAAAAACAAGTCATAATGACCATACTACTTAATTTCAAAATGCAAATACACCTTTCTTTGTACCTTTCAATATTGTGGTGTTGGGTATTGTTGATCGCCATTCCTTTCTGGCACACATTTGTGAAACTTCAATTTACCTTGCTTTGATGATTTTGCATTACTCTGGTTTTCCTACTAATACAGGGAAACTTCAAATGACACAGGGAGAAAAACTGATCTCCCAGCCTAAAAGGTACCTGTGACAAGTTTGTGTTCTCTAAAACTAAAGAATGAACTTTAGGAACAAATGGAGGTTATGAGCAGAATATATTTAATGAGGGAAAGTTCCTGTCCGAGAGAGGGACAGAAGGGGGTGAGTCCTGAGTGGGTGGTCCCCAGAAAGCTGTCTCTTTCAGGGACTTTTATAGAGGAAAACCAGGTGGTGAGGTGGGGCTAAGGTGGTGGAGAAAACATAGGAATTCAGTTAGGCATGAGGTAGGACAAAACTATGATCAATGAGATTACAATCACCATTGTTCAGGTAAAATTGATTAAATCCATTACCAAATGGGAAGTAAGTCACGTAGAAAGTGAGCATGAATACAGGACAGGGTCTCTTCCTGTTGGGGGTTGGGCTAGGGACTCATTTGGGCTCTTTCAAGCTGACTGATAGACATTTAGAATACAATCCTGATGCCCATCCCTAGGGAAGTACGTAGCTATATTTGTTTCTTTTTTGTCTTGAGGTGTGGCCCATATGGAAGTGTCTGTCTCTTCCAAGTTGCAAAGTCACCTTGTCTTCCATCTTGTCTCCTTGAGGGCCTGGCCCTGTCTGAATGCCTACAATATTTCTATCTAATTCAGCTTCCTACACCACCACTACTTCCTCCTATCTTCTACTGGCCTCACTCATCTAGATCAGAACCTCTCAAACTTTGATGTGCCTCAATTTGTGT